GTTATCTGAGTAACTCTGGAAGAGGAGGCCCCTTGAATTCTGAAATTCTGATAATTCGGGCCAGTTTCAAATCTTTCTCTCCTCCACTTCTTGCTAAAAGCAACCACAAAAGAAGTTTTGAAAATAAATCCAAAAAATCTGTTAAAACAATCTTTGTTTTTGACACGAATCAGCATGCAGGAGCCCGCGCTTTCTTTATTGTTTAATTTTCTCCGTAGAACACCAAAATAATTTTGAGGCCCATAGATTGAAGAAAACTACGAAGCTAAGCAAAGCCAAATAACGTTTTTAACTGAATGAAATATAGGAGAGGAGGTGGCTAAGTTGAGGAATGATCGTCCCCCTCTACGGTTGCCTGCGGTCGGACATTTTGGAAATTTCTTTCGCATCTAATTATTGCACTATCTTTTTGCGGGTGTCTTCTGTGATTAATTAGCTTGGAGAAGTCGTCTGTGGATTTGGTATAAGCCGTTTTATTTAGCGTAATTTCCCTGAATTTGATTTCATTGCGTATTTCCTTTGCTTTGTCAAGTACGAGAGCGTCATGGGGATGCTAGAGCCCATCACCCCTGCAACATCTATCATTTTTGTTTACTAGGGTAACCAGGGATTAAAAAAATGGGAAAAATTGAGAACCATAAGTCACAGTTACGCAGGTTGATATGATTCTTCAGTCAAAGAAACTGTGAAGGCGTTTGTTCGTACACGTCATCCGAAACTGTGTTTGTTCGTACACGTCATCCGCCATTGCAACTACCTCCAAGCCCTTCTTTTTCCTTTTCTTTTTACTTTCCTTTTCTTAAAAACTTTTATACTTTCCTTTTTTCCCATATATTTACCTTTTCCCCTACTATTGCTTTATTTCTGAATTAGATTTTTTTATCTTAATTAATTTATACACCTTGATAAATTATTATGTTACCACAATCGTCGTACTGACGAGGTCCATTTGTGGTAACGGTAAGAAATGTATGCGATTTAATGGACCGAAACATTTCTTACCTATAACAAATATTTTTTATAATCTCTTACCTATCTTACTATCCTTTTCTTCTTTTCATTGTTTCCTTCTTCTCGTGATATTCTCTTTTTAACCTTTAATAGTTTATTAGTCTTTTTCGTATACTTTTACTACTTAGACCGATATAAGTAATAGACTAATTCTCTAGTTAGATAGCAGCTTCTTTAACTTATGCTGCCGTTGCGTGGTAATCAGCCTATTGGCGATCCCAACATGCATTTCGTCCGCGAAAGATTTATCAGTGCAGTGGTCCTCCCTAGCAGAATCATCATTGTCACAGTTTGAGCCGTGGTGATACTGCTTGTATTTGCAGGCTGTTGGAATTTTCGTACGACGAAGACGTTTTAACAAAGATTGAAGATGTCTCGGGGCGTTTCACATATCATTTTGTACTGGACGTTAATGCGCTAGATGCGCAGTGTCGGACAGCTTTATACTTAGCCGTTGCAAATTCTCACTATGATGTTGTTAAATATCTACTTGAGGTGGGCGAAGTTGCTTTTTTGTGTAAAGCATCATTCTCTTGCCTGATTCACATCTGCCAGAATTATTTCGACATTCTTTGAATCCATTCAGTTATTACGTTAGAGGTAGCCATCTATTCATATTTGTAACCTTATTAGCAAAAATGAAGTTCTGCATAAATTGGAGGCTGAGAATTTCTGTTTCAACTCTTCAATTTCGTCATTGTCGCTGCTTCTGATAGGAGGAGGAAAGGGAGAGTATAAATATTAGTAGTATTTTGCATTTCATTAGAGTGTTGTGGGAGCAAAGTACACAAGCTGGGAATGAGAGAATGTGATGGGAAATTATTTGTGGACACTGCAACATTATAATTAATTATGATGTAACAGTGAGTAATGAATCATTGAGGAATTATTTGGTACAGCTGCAAGTGTTTTTTCAATGATTCATTGAAAAAATTATTATAATTAATTACAAGAATGTATTATAACCTTCAAGTGTCTTTTTATGCATGACACTTTGTCCAATCCCTCTATTCTACCGTTTCAGAAAGTTTTTTTTCTTGACTGTTGTTTAATGAATGAATGGATTACGTTTCATCTTCTGGATAAGATAAATTTTCACAATTCGTTTCTAAAAACTTCTTATTTCTGAAAATGTTCTTGCACTTTTTTTAGCCGAAGCAATCCGCTTTCGTGAGTCAGTCATGGTGTTCTTGATAATACGTGATGACAGTTCTTAACTCTTATTTGCCATGAATAATTTATTTCTTCTGTTATGTTTACAGGTTGAGCTTCCGTCCATGAATACCGCCCGAAAGTGTCCGTTCCAAGTTGATGTGTACTGTAGTGGCGGCAAAACTCCGCTGATGGTTGCTGCTGCAAATGGCAACATACCTTTAGTAAAGTACTACTTTCACTTTATTTCTTTAAACTGATTTTAATGCTTTTTTTCAAGTCTGATTTGGGTGGTTTCGAAAACTGCATTGCAGTTGAAATGCATAAAAGTAAGTGATTTAGAGAAAGAGGCGTATTCCAATGCGATTATTTTTTGATTATGAAAAGCCTCTTCTGAAGTTAGGAGTCGATTCATTTCCCAGGATCTCATTTTTCTTATAGGGCATTGGTATCTTATACATTACCAAATTCACCACGTTTATCTATATGTGTGATTTTTTATTATTTTAATATTTATTAAAACAATTAAAAAATCACACATACAAATGTAATATTTGTTACTACATATTCAGTCATCACACTACTTTAGGAACATGTCCACGTACTGATTTTAAATAACCCGGAGTGCCTGGCAGGACTTTCCATCTATGAAACTGACAACTTTCCCATTTTCTTGCCTGCTTTAAGCTGTTCTGTCTTTCCTGAGAGTCAGCTTGAAATGCATTCCCGAAGTCCGCTTCATGTCCTGGAATGATTGCTAGCTCAGCAATTCTTTTGGTGGAGGTTCAGTCGTTTAGAGATGTTGTTAGTATTTGTTGGGCATAAAACCGTTGCACAAACTTTGACATTTGCAGACCATGATGGGGCATTTCACTGACTAGGAAGTCGGCCATTCGTGTTGTGTAAAATTATTATTCGGGAAAAATAGTAGTTTCTCTTTTTCGCAAAAAGTCCAGTTTATCTTGGTGACTTGCTTCGAAAATACGTTCAGCCGTTTTTTTTTGTTAAATGATCTTCACCTCTTAACTGAATAAGTCAGTTATGCATAAGCTGTGGACAATTTAGTTTCCTCCGGATTTATTCGAGGAAAAATGTTGACATGCTGAGTTTTTTTCAGATTGCTGCTGGAACACGGTGCCGATGTGAATTTACCCTGTGGGCTTACTGATGCAGACATCAGCAGTTTGGATGGCGCGCGATGTGTTGGTTCTGGTGCCCTCAATGAGGCCTGTCGAATTGGTTGTGTTCCGTTGGTGCAGCTGCTTTTGCAGCGGGGTGCTGTTGACCACGAAAATGTTGCCCTTGCTACTGCTTTCAAGGTCAGTTTTATCACCCATTTTTTTTTTGCCGTTTTATCGGTTCCTAAACAAGTACGTGTGAAAAATGTCCAACAACCTCCACCAGAATAAGAAGGGGAAAAGCAGGAAAACGAGCACTAAGACCACCAACAACTCGACCGCCAGGTGTTGCACCGCCAGTTACAGCAGCGATCGAAGATTTTCACCTGCACCGGAAAAATGCATAATAGTGAAGCAAAGAATGATCAAAGTAGTTTGCGATACGGAGCATTTGAAGAAAACTTGACAGTGGACTTCCTTTGAGTTCTTTTTCACTTCGAAATCTAAACATTTTTGTTTATTGTGATTAGTAACACTTTTAACAAATTTAAGCGATTTTTTTTTTGAATTCAGAGATTTGTTTGTCCATTTTTTTTTGTTTCAGTATAATCAGGAAGCATTAGTCCGGATTTTTCTGTTGCGCCTAACATTTGTTGATCCGGACTATCGTATCAACAAAAAAGGCATGGATTTTGGACAGATGTCAATAAACCGACATCTTCTACCCTCTACAGTGTACCCCACATCACCGTGCATGCTCAACTGGCATAATGCAAGTTTGGCAAGTATTTCGAATGACTGGCTAATTGCTGCTTGCCTACAAGTTAATCAAAGGCTACGAACATCACGGTGAGTCACTGTCTTTTTTCTTCATACTGTTGGAATCAGGAATTTAAAACTTTTGTGTTTTTGGAATCAGAAAACCTGTGAAAAATTTCGAAAATATTTTGCATCAGCATAAAAGAATTTTTAATAAGGCAGAAGTTAACAGAACAGCAACAACTTGTTTTTTCAGAATTGTTATAGGCCGCCTAAGCTAAGAATACATAGGAGCTACTACTCCTCAGCCGATTTTTGTTCCCAATTTCCTTGATTATCGTAAGACTTGTTTAGAAAGCGACAGGCATACTAAGGCAGCTTATCTCAGATTAGAGTAACTTTCCTTGCTCTCGGAAAAACCAAGAATTTGGATGCATGCACATTTTCACTTCATATGTGTAAATTTTGTAGGATGGCACTGGCAGCACTAACGCGAATTGATTTATCAAAGAACAAAATGAAAGTGCTAAGTGGGCAGCTACTTCAACTCTCATCACTGAGAAGTTTGAATGCAGCGAACAATGAAATAATGGAAATTGAAATACCAAACGATGGCATCCAAGCGCCTCTTCTGGAAAGCTTATCGCTGGAATATAATGAGCTCTCCTTTCTTCCAGATGATGTATGTTTTTTTTGTTTTCTTTTTTTGTAATTGTAGTTTTGCAAATTTTTGAATCTAGTTTAAAGGGGGAAATAGTACCAGTGTTCCTCTCTTTTTCCAATGGAAATGGGATATTTGAGTTTTTTTTTTTTTCGAAATTATTTTGCCGATGCTTTTATATTACAGTGTTAAGAGGTGCCTTATCATCATGTTTTTTTTTTTTTTGAAAATAGCCACATTTTTTTCACTTCTTTTTCGTTCACTTTCGCTTTTCTAGTTTCCCTTTCTGTCGTCGGAGCATACCTGATTACGTGCAGCTTTCAAATTTTCACTCTTTTTAAAAAAATAAAAAGCCCGCGACAAATTCGAGGACAGTGTATTTTTGCATTTAATTTACTATCATAAGCATGTATTTTAAAAAAAAATTGTCTAGAAATCTAAAAAGAGAAATTTTTTATTTGTTTGTTTGAAATTTCGTCAGCATTGAGTCCTTTCTGTTTTAGTTTTTCACATCGCGAATGCCGGTTCTATGTTTCCTGGATGTTTCGCACAACAAATTGTCCACACTTCCGGATACTTTGTGGTTGGCTCCAAGATTGCGCGAGCTGAATTTGTCGAACAACAAACTGTCAGTATTGCCCGCCATCGGTTCGTCGCAGCTTCGGCCATCGAGCAGTCTTTCTGGAAGCGACCAACCCGGATCAAATCATTCGGAGACGCGCACTTATCACAGCACCGTATCAACTGATGATTCCATAAGTATCGGTGGTCGAATTGATGACTCTAACATTACTGTTCATGAACTGAAAAGGTTACTTCGAGATATCTACAGTGCGTGTCTGTCTGCGCCTTTTTCATCTGTTTTCAACATCAGTTGAGCTTCTGAATCTCACATCCAAGATTATCTCAAAAAAGACAAAATCCTCAGCAGCAGGGAGGAGTTGTATTCATTTTAGTGGGATATTCACGCTACCGACCATAATCTATTGCGACCAAAGTCGCAGCATCCGGTAGTCAGCGTGTTGCTGGTCATGCTACATTCAGAAATTTGCCGTCCTAAAATAAACCTGGAAAGTTTGTTAAATTTCGGTATTTAAGGCTAAATCAAGGGAATTTTTATCAAAATTTTATGTTTGCAGGCATAATGTTTGGCAGCGGAGTGTACGGCTTGCGCAGTCGGATGAGTCGGACAGTGAGAATGGTAGTGTAACATCAGCATCAACCCTCACTTCACTGAATATTTCAAACAACAACGTATGTTTTTTTTGTTTCTGATCTCTCTGTTTCGTTCCAACTTCATATTCTCTACTCTCTCGCGTTGCCCAATAAAACAGAGATTTTTATCATAATATGTATAAAAAATATCAAATTATCCTAAAAAGTTGAATGAGTAGGAATATTTCGGCCGGTAGCTCATCTTACTTTCTAGAATTAAAGTATTTTTTTTGTTTCTGATCTCTCTGTTTCAACTTCATACTCTCTACTCTCTCGTGTTGCCCAATAAAATTAAGATTTTTATCATAATATGTATAAAAAATATAAAATTATCCTAAAAAACTGAATGAGCAAAAATATTTCGGCCGGTATCTCATTTACTTTCTAGAATTAAAGTAAAACTGGTTGGTTCCACGTGATTTATAATGAATAGCAAAACCCATTAGAGGTCAGAGTGAGCGTGTTTTTTTTGTGCAGTTCCGTCTGTGAAAGCATATATCCTCAGTTTCTAGATGTGACACTTTGGCTTCAATTTTTAACTGTTGTTTTGGCTGTAGAACCAGCAAAATTAGAAGATTTGCATTAGGATTTGAATCAATACAAGGCCGTGAACTAAGATCCAAAACTTCAGTATTTTTCCGGTCAAGAACTGGAAACTGATAACAAGCGTATCAATAACACATACATTCGGGCATATAGAGGACCCCGTCAATATGCGTCTCGCAATTGCATGACTTAAAAAACCCCGTAGCAGTTGCTTTTGCTCATTGTTCTTTAAACATTGCCCGAAATTTGAACGGATGTTAATCTTTGTTTACGGCACTGTGCCAGTATCTTGAAGTAGATTGCTTCTGGCAGTTCTTTTCTAGCAAAAAAAAAAATCTTGCCATAAATATCTGTATATTTCGAGCTTTTCTGATATTCTGTCGTGTCATTTCTGGCGTTCAGAGGGAGGAGGGGGGAGGGGGAAGGAGCGGTGCTCAAACCCATTTCTCAGATTTAGTTATTTCTTACAGATCAAAGTTGCGCCTTCTTGCCTGGCTTGCTGCTGTCCACGTCTTACGCGGCTCAATATTTCTCACAACCAGCTAACTTCGCTGGGACCGGTAGAATGCATGCCGTCGCGTTTGCGACATCTCGACGCGTCCAGCAATCAACTTATATCCGCTTTTGAGCGCCCGGTTGCCGTCCAGTTGGTATGCCATGCTGTCAGTGCCCAACAAAGTGCTATTTTACAGATGCGACATCCGAGCCCAACTCGCAATCCACGTAACATTTTTATGTTGTCATTTTACTTTGAAATACTTAGAATTTGCATTTCTCGTAGTCTGGTCCTTCGAGCATCCACTGCGGCAGTTTTCTCGCTTGCTTTGACCGGCGCCACATCGCTTGGTGGTCATCCTGCTGATGATTCTGATAATTGTTTCCATTCTTGAATGGATTATCAGCTCAGCGGTTCTCAGAAGACTTTAACCATTTCGAGATATAGTAAGCATCGCTGCTTCGTTCTCTTCTAAAATTGTACTGTCGATTAAGAGTTAATATCGTTGGTATTGTACAGTTGAGTTTTCCCTGAAATTATTATCCATGATTCTTTATAATTCCGTCTTCTCACAAACGATTATTTTAAAATATCAGATATGTGTGTTTTAGGATCACGCTCGAAATCGGCAGTACGTAGCCAGCGATCGCTGAGCGTTGCGCGAATTGGGGACACGCTGCACGATACGCATATCGATGCTTGTCCCCATAAGCAGCACATAAGGCTCGAGTCGCTTCGCTCACTCTATCTGGCCAATAATCGTCTCACTGAAATTCCACTCTTTGCACCAAATGCAAAAACTACGCAATCACCGAAAAAGAAGCAGCGCGAAAGTCGACAGAAATCTTCAGCGGTAGGAAAGTGTTTTCAGAAAACTGACAGAGAAAAAAGTAAATTATCGTGCTGAATATGGCGCAACAGATAGCGATTAAATTATTAAGCAAAGGATGAAAGATTGTCGATTTTAGAGTAAGGCAGAAGACTGAGGGAAGTGAAGGGGATGGTTAATGTTCAGACTAATTGGAACGTGCAGGTTTTTCTCATCGGAGGTGAAAGTTTCTGATCTTTTAGTCACGGAGCTAGGAGGACAAAAAGTTTTTTGATTAAAAGTTAATTGGTCCTTGGAAGATAGTAATCGTTCTGGTTTTTTGCCTCTAAAAATTTTTGCTTCATCTTATCTTTTTGCTGTTTGAGTTTGCCTGTTTGTCACTCAAATAAGCGAGTGATAATTTCAGCTACGGCGACAAGTACAATTTCCCGCGCTCACTACACTGGATGTAAGTAACAACAACATCTCCAGTGTTCCCAGTGAACTGTCAAGTCTGATATCTCTCTCGGTTCTAAACCTTAATGGAAATACTGGCATCGAAACGCTTCCACCCGAACTTGGCCTTCTTGGCAAGTTTTCAGCGTTCTCCAAAAAATAAAATACAAATTTTTACGATACTTTTGCTTAATTCCTCAGCGATTTTATTGCATTTGACTATACACAAAAGCACGTTCTAAAGTATTCATATTTCTGAAATGGAGTTCTCTAGTTTAAGGGTTTAATTTGTTCTGAGAATAGATTTCGTCTCTTTTGCCTTTATGAATGGAATTTGGTGTAACAAAAGGTTTAGAGTGTGCGACAGATGACTCATATTTGAACTAGTGCGTTTCATTATTTAGGTAAACTATGGAATCTCAGTTTAAAAGGCTGTTCATTGCGTGATCCATTGAGGAATATGGTGCAGGCCGAGAATTATAAAACGGTGGATTTGATTGCTTATCTAAAATCTGTGC